AGCCGTGGACTCTATAAAAGTAAAGCTGAGGTAGCGTGGAAGAAGGGGTTCCCTCTGTGCCTCACCCCCAAGAAGGCTCTGCCCTCCCTCCCTCCTCTCCTGGCTCAGCATCCCTGGGGTAATTAAAGACAGCATTTCTGTGAGGAAAGAGTTTTGTCACTGAGCTTTCAGAATTAACCTGGGGCGTGACCTGGACCTCAGTGTGGCCTTCCTCTGCTGACTAACAAAAGATTACCTGGACTCTCCGGGTCTTTCCTTCCCTTCTTTTCTTTCCTTCCATGACAAGCTCTCAGTCTGCAGCCCTGACTGACCAGTAATTTCCAATGTAGGTCAGGCTGGATTCAAACCCCTAGAAACCCTGCCTCAACCTCTCCACTGCCAGGATTATAGGTGTGAACTACTACTCTTGACCTCAGAGCATTTCCATCACTGGGGTGTGTCACACAAACAGGTTCTGGGGAGGCACTCCCTCGCCAAGGTATAAGGCCTGTCCCCTCCATCGAAAGGCAAGGCAGTGGCCACTTAGAGGCTCCCTGCTTGGTGCAGGGCCCTGTGCCAGGCTCCACCAGTGCACAGGCAGCCTGCCATGAAAGGGCACTCCCTCAACAAGGAAGCATTTTTCTGTGTTTTGTCTGGAATTGCTTAACCAGTCTGGTCTTAGGCACCGTGTCCATTCGGGGCCTCCTTCCTCCACGCAGGCACTTCCTGTCCCTCCCGCAGTACCATTCAGGTACACGTGTATGTACACACGAGACCTCTGTGACACGCTGGCTCTGCGCCCAGCAGGAAATACTTATGTTGCCACCTCTGGAGCTGGCACTCCGCCGACGTGCTCGGAGTAAGCTGCAACGTGTTCCTTTCAATCGCTTGAAAGGGGAAATTAAACTGAGGAGTGAAGTCTGACCCAAGTGCTTGCATGCAAATAGTTGACCTTTGTTTTGAATACACTTAATGAGACTGAAACCAGATTGTGTGGCCTCCAGCTGCCTGCGTCGCCACCTCTTCCCTGGCATTTGAAAGAGACTGGAAGAGGCAGCAAAAGGCTGAGGGTGGTGGGAGATGCCCATTGTCGGGCTTGCTCTCTCACATGCTGGAACTGTGGGGGCCTGGCACATGGTCCCTGGGGTAAGCAGCTCCATCCAAAGAGGTCCCTTTGACCCGATCCCAGATTCTCAGCTGCTTCGGGACACACCTTGGTACAGGGGTCCTGGCTTCACCAAGCCTCTATGCTGTCTGAGAGGAAATGACATTTCTGTGATATATGAGGCTGTGTTGTTATACGGAAATGTAAGAGCTGATTGAGTGTAATAGTCAGACTAGATGATGTTCTGCTTAAGTAACAAGTAGACCCCCCCACTCTCAGTATCGGAACATGATACAGATTTGTGTCCCAATCATGTGAAGCCTAGTGAAGGTAGGGGCAGCCTCTGCCAGGGAACAGCTGCACTATCTTGAAAGTGTGGCTTCTAAGGTTTCCAGGTGGCAATGGGAACTATGGAGTCATAGACGATATTTGGAGTGGGAGCTAAGGAGATATCTCAGTTGGCAAAGCCGTCACCTGCACCAGAAGACCCACGCTCAATCCTGCAGAGCGTGTTCCTTTGTAATACCATTGTGGGAGAGGCAGATGTTTGCTTATTGCCCAGCCATTCTATCCTAGTGGTGGGCGTCAGCCTGGTGAGAGACCCTGTCTCAAAGGATGTGGATGGCGTTCCTGAAGATGAAATATGAGCTTATCCTTTATCTGCCGTATGCATGCACACCGGCTTGCATGAGCTCACATGCATGCATCCACTCACCCACGTGAGCATGTACATACTCACATTTTAAAGGAAGATACCTTAAAAGTTTTATTACATTTATTTGTGTATATGTGCACAAGCTCACATGCATACTCACACATGCTATTTATAGCACATGTGTGGGGGTCAGAGGATAACTTTCAGGAGTCATTTCTCTCCTTCTACCAAGTGGATCCAGGATTTGAGTCCAGGTCATAGGGCTTGGCAGCAAGTTCCCTTACCCAAGGAGCCATCTTACTAGTCCAAAAGAAGATACGGTTTTACATGACAGGGTCTGGAAAGCATCCTCAATGCCCACCCATTCTTTTTGTCTGCCGGATCCAGATGAATGGTTCTAACACAACTGTCAAGGTATCTGGGAGAGATCTTCCTGGGTGCTTAGACTGAACACAGAGAACACGGTGTAGTAGATGCATAGCATGACCTCTGCCCACTTAGGACCCAGCCTAAGAAGGCAATGCACTGAGACTGGTCAATGACAGAGCTCTGCCTTGGTGGGCAGAAATGGAGAGACAAGAGCCCAAGTTACGGGGCCTAGTATACCCTCAAAATACAGCTTCATCCTCCAGAACTGCTCTTGGAGACTCAAATCCTACTTGCTAGAAAGGTAGGCAATTGTTTTAACTTAGTGCCTCCAAATTTCCAGTGAGAAGACTCGAGGATTAATGGTCAAGGTCTCCCCTTCCACACAGATGTGTCTGCCCTATGTGGAAATGTTCAGTTATAAAATAGTGAGTCCTACGTATACTATCATACCCAACACTGCCTGTCGGATGAATGGGCATTGCCTCTGCATTGAGAATGAGGAAAGATGCTAGAACAGTGGGCTGGTCCAAACTCTCCAGTGTCTTCTGGAACCTCAGGCAGAGTTGAGACCTTATTCTGAAGGATGGGCTCTATGCATGAAAAAGTAAAGAATAGTGACTGGATTTGTGCTTTTAAAAACAGTTGGGTGGAAAAGAGCAGGCAATGGGATCACAAGTTTGAGGTCAGTCTAGACTACATAGAATTCTAGGCTAGCCTGAGCTACAGAGAGTTTTAGGCTTGCCTGAGCAGCATAGGGAGACCCTTTCTCAAAATAATTCATTGGGTAAGAAGGCAGGATTGGGTGCAGGAAGCCAGACTGATGCAGTTGACATGGAAAGATTACATGGAGGGAGTGGCCAGCATATGGGGGCAGATTTGACAGCCTGTGGGGTAATAGGATCTCAGCCCCTGCTATAATACGGTGACTGTTTCTGGGGCAGGGCATCCCTGAGAATGGACATTTAGGCTAAAGAATAATGAGCTCTTTCGGGGACCTGTGGCATTTAGGAACCTGGAGTGAGGCAGTTGGCATAGAGCAGGCTCCAGGAAAATGGGGAAGCACTCAGGAGAGACATCGCTGGAAAAGAAGCTTTGAGTGGCACTGATAAGGGGGACTGGTTGAGTGAGATCATCCAGGGAGAGCCAGATTCAACAGCTGGGGAGCAGGGGGTGAACCCGGAAAGAGAAAGGAGGGTGCATCATGTGAAAGAATAATAATGAGGAGGAAATATTGTCTCCTCCTGTTCCAAAGGAACAATAGCATGACTGTGCATCAGATTCAAACAGGTCACCTGTGACCTTAGCAAGAGCAAGTTCCTCTGGCAGGGGCTATGTGGAGCAGGTTCCAGGGCAAACAGGAGTCAAAAAAGTAGAACTAAGTTTAAACCATTCTTCCATGAGCCTCCATTGGAAAATGTGAGAGATGGCCATGGGGCCGGGGGTTGGGGGGGTGGGGGGTGGACAATTGGTTGGGTTTTTTTGTTTTTCACTGTGGAATACTGTAAATATTTTAAAAGAATTTTCGTGGCATTTTTCGAATCTGGATGCACAATGATGAACTCAACAGGGAACCAGTATCCACCTTCACTGGTACCAATCAGATCTGCCACAGGTGGGGACAGGTTCAGCCCAGGCTGCCTGTGTACCTTGCAGAATGACACCCAGAGCTGGGCCACCACATAAGCAAGCTTGGTAGCAGGTTTCCTAGACTGGGAACAGGCTCTGGTATCCATGCACAAGTCCTGGGCAATGAAGGCAGATATATGCAAAGACATTTTAAAATTAAGTGGCTTGTCTAGTAGCCAGCAACTTCAGAGCGGGCTAGCAGGACGGAAGGCAGGAGCCCATAGCCTAGACTGGAAGCGAATGGAAAACGGAATAGGACCAAAGCGCACTAAGTCCTCAGGCACACCAGGACTGTGGGTGTGAAGTTCAGGGCAAACCCTCACCCTCAGCCACGTGTGTGTGCCCTGGCATTGTTTCTCTCCAACCCTCTACAGCCATCTCTTTCATGACTGGAGTAACTGGTCCCTGCCTGGGTAGGAGCCAGCACTATCATGGTGATGCTGAACAAAATACAGTCCTTGGTGACTCACAGGTCCCTTCCCATACCACGGCGCGTCTAGTCTCCATGACAACCCTGAAAGGCCTTCTGTTCATATATTCAGGAAACCGCGTGGGAGATGCAGGGAGTGGAGGCCAGAGTACCCAGGTCCCAGAAGTGTAGCACCGAATCATAGGACTGGGATTTTGAGGGAGGACTTGACCCCTGGAAGCTAACATCTTTCGGAGATGCGGAGATGCGGTGACCCTTCTCACCTCTTAGTTCCCTGCCCTCAGGGGAATCACTTGTTCTCTGTGAGTCTCCTTGTTTGTAAATTGGGGGCTGACTGTACCTTGCTTGCTGCCTCACGGGTACTATAGGGACCAAATGAGATTTTAGTCGAGGCTGTGACCCCTCTCAAGTGAATGCACATGCGGGCCGTGTGACCTGAGCTTGGAGAGAGTGTGTTCAGAGGTCTTCTATCACAGTGGGGACAGGAGGCAGTGCTGTCCCTGCCACAATTAAGATGTGCACTTCATGTTACTCAGGGAAGGGTGACATGGCAGAACTAAAAATTCTGACTTGACGGTAACCAGGTTCAAATCCTGCTCGTTACATTCCACTGTATGCCCCTGAACAATCGATCGATTCTTCGTCACCTGATGAGTGGGGCTGGTAAGTGACGGAGGGTTTGCCAACTTGCTGAAACTCTGAGACTGGCTAATGTTTGAAAACCCAGTGAACCCAGAGCAGGGGCTGCACATAGACCATCACTGGTGGCCGCCTCCCCTGTGGCCAGGCAGAGCTACTCTGAGCTTAAACAGCCTCCCTGTGTTCTGTGCTGGTAGGTCCGGGCTCTGGTTCCCTGTGAGAAGCTGCCACGGCCCACCGAGATGTCCAGGCACCATAGCCGCTTCGAAAGAGATTACCGCGTAGGCTGGGACCGCCGTGAGTGGAGTGTCAATGGGACCCACGGGGCCACCAGCGTCTGCAGCGTCACCTCCGGGGCTGGCGGCGGCACAGTTAGCAGTCTCAGCGCACGACCAGGCCTCCTGCCGCTGCCCGTGGTGCCCTCCCGGCTGCCCACTCCCGCCACAGCTCCGGCTCCCTGCACAACGGGCAGCAACGAAGCCATCACCAGTCTCGTGGCCAGCTCGGCCTCCGCAGTCACCACCAAGGTAAGACCTGGTGTCCTCTCTGGGTAGGAGCCAGACAGCAACTCAAGCCCCGGCCAGCACAGAGGCCTTACTCTCTGGTCTGTGTCACCAGAGTCGCAGCCTCCACGGAGTGCATCGAGGCTGTTTCTGAAGGTTAAAAGGGTCTCATTTACTACCGCACAGTCCCTCTATGTAACTAGCTTGTAGGAAGACCCGCAGATGCCGACACCACACAAGTGCCGCCTGAATGCTGCTGAGTGAGTGACAAGAGTACTGCCAACTTGGCAATACTCATTTCCCTAAATAGGGGAACTGAAAACATATAAGTCTCCCTGGGGGTCATCAGTGGCAGGGAGTTTGCAGCTGTATTAGCCACCAAGGGTCAAGAGCCCATTACTGGTTCATCCCCACGGTGGGGATTCTCATGTCTGCAGTTCCTATGAGCCTCACAATAACACTGTTGAGGTTAGTTGTGTACACATGCCTGCCTGACTGCTGAGGGTCCCCAGCTACTGTGAGGACCCAGGACTCATACCAACAGTTGACTGCCTGGTATTAGCTCCTGATCATTCTGCCTTTTTTTTTTTTTTCCTTGCAAGAGACGGTTCCAAAAACCTCAGGAATGGTGGCAAAAGCCAATGTGTATGAAACGGAATGTGGAAATAAATGTCACCGAAGCTGTTGACTGGCTTTGGGCTGAACAGAGGGGCTCTGAATCCCCCTCTTGCGTGCTGTGCAGAGCCCTTCAGGCAGACTGAGCCATAGAGGGGCGGCTGGTGGCCAAGGCAAGAAACACATTCATCCCGTCAGCCCCCTCAGCCAAGCAGAGGCTCTGCAGGCCATCTTTGCCTCTGCCAGCCATTCAGAACCACTTCCCAGGAGCCCTCTCGGGACCTGCATGTGTGCTTGTGTGTGGGTGTATACGTGTGTGCTGCACATGTGTGTGCCGGGCGCTTTTCCTTTCCTGCTTTCATAAAGGTTGCAGGAGAATGAAAGGCTGGAAGCCCCAGGCTGGCCATTGTTGAGGTAGCTGTGGTGGTGGACGGTACTCTCCGGGTGCTCTGTGCCTTTGTCTCGACGATTTTCAAAACTCCCTTTCAGCCCTGCTTCCCATTAATAACAGCACTGCTGGCCGCAGAGCCCGGCAGAGACCCGAGACAATGGAGCTACTGGAGGCCAGCTTGCAGCACACTGACATCTTGCTGCATTGTCTTATTGATTTTATTCTCTTGTTATGAAAACACCACCCCACCAAGGCAGGGAGGGAAGTAATACCAGACAGGAGCGGAGATGGGCGATTACTTGGGCACACTTCCCCGGGGCCAGCCAAACACATTCCTGTCCTGGGCACCAGGCCCTGGCCACTCTAAATTGGTGACCTCTGTCCAGGATAACCTGCTGCCAGCCCTGCTGGCCACATCTGGCAGGCAGTCTTCAAAGCCAGCTGTTCACCATCTGGAGAACGGTGGCCTCTGGAGCCAACAGCCAGGGCTCCAGGTGAGAGAGAAGCTGGACCGGCAGACATACTTCATGGCTTCCATCCCTTCAAGAACCGCTACTAAGTTGCACCTGGGTATGTAACTTAGGGTTCTGCCGGGTGAAGGACAGTGCCACTCGCTCCTTCCCTGGACACAGGGAACTTGATTTGCTCCAAAATATCTCACTATGCACGAGCCCTCCTCCCTAGCCAGACCTCCAGACCACAACCACATGGGAGGAAAAGAATAAGCCGCAGACAGAAAACAGCAGATGTGACAAGGACTGAGCCAGCGGTCAGCACATAGTGGGGGAAAGGGCAAAAGGCCAGGCACAGAGACTACTCACTACTGTGCAAGCATCTCAGCCCAGTTTCACATCTGCAGGGTTTGGTTTGGACCTGGTTAGGGTCTGAGTTCTTTGCGTTGCTAGAGAAGCGTTTGCAGGGACAGTAGCAAGACAGCTACCCGTGGCGGTTTCAATTGAGGGCAGCACTGGTCTTAGATGTGGACCAGGTGTTCTCAACCTGTGTGCCGTGACCCCTGACCCTTTCACAGGGGCCACCTATCAGATATCCAGCATATCAGATATTTACACTGTGATTCATAACAGTGGCAAAATGACAGTTATGAAGTAGAAATGGAAATAATTTCATGGTCGGGGGTCACCATGCTAAAGGGTCACAGCGTTAGGAGGGCTGAGAAGCACTGATGATGTAGGCAGTGGTGCCTCCTGTCACACTGGACTTATTGCTGCTGGCCCACATGCCTGACCTCTACCCTGCGTGTCTGCCCCCGTGCCAAGATCACATCAGTGGACACCCAGGTCAAAGCCAGGTGTCCGGCAGCAGATTCCCTGGTCAACCAGCCAGGTCTTCACCAAGCAGCCACTGAAGAGCTGTCTCTTGCTATTGGGGAAATGATGGGTCAGTATGTAAATGAATGTGTGGTCGTCACGTGACCTGGTACCACCCTGGGTGAAGTTATTGGTGGAGGTGACTCAATGGTAGGTAAAGCTAGGCTGTCTGAATTTTAATTCCAGTCCACCTCTTGCTGTGTGTTGTTGAACAAACTGACCCCTCAGGGTCTCAGCTCTAGGACTGGGTGGTAGTCCCTCATTACCAATCTTACCATGAGGCTGGCATGCACGGGATTCCATGTAAAGTACTCAAAACAGAAAGGCACTGGCTGGTGGTCCATTGCTAGGCAAGAGGGTCACCCCTTCACACCACTGACATCAGGCATTGGTCTCGGAAGTACAAGACTGTCTGTCCTGCTGTGAGGACAGGTATTTCCTTCTCCCATCACCCTGAAAAAAAACGGGAGGGAGTTCTTCAGAGGAAGCACAAAAGTGGGAGCCCTGAGCAGGTGGGGAAGGGGATTGTTTAAGCGGTTGGGATTCAGAAGACCTGGAAGGAAGAGTGGAGCTAGGAGGGGAGGAGAGAGGGAAGAGGTGATGGAAAGGGCGACCTCTCAGGTCCAACGCTGAATCAGCAGCACACCTGGCAAGCAGGTGACCAAGGTCAGAGATCCAAACACTTTTTATCAGCCCAGAAGGTTCTTCCCCCACAGGAAAGTGTAGACCCCACCATCCCAGAAGACGAGGAAAGGAAGAAGCCATGATAGAAGCAAGACTGAGTCCCTGCTGCCCTGCGTGCGTTAAGGCTGCTTGAAGTCACTGACCTTGCTCTTAGTGGAGAGGACCGCTGCCACTACCTGTGGGCCAGGACCGCCCCTAGGAGCCCAAGCATGCTGACTCAGAGATAAGGGGCAGCTCTCTGACCTTTGGAGACATCCCTTTGTTGTCAGACAGGATGAACATCCCATGCGCAGGTACTCAGGGCATTCCTGCCACACTCCATGTCAGAGGTCCAGTGCTAGGGTCGACCTTGCTTTACCAGGACTGAGAGTCTGGGCTCTTGTCTAGAAAGGCATTCATGCTACCAGAGACTGGGTTAGCAAGAGGATGACAATTCTTTTTGTCATGGCTGCCTCCAGGCCTGATTTGATTTTTCTGTGTCTTCAGTTGTCCATGGCCTAAAGAATTCCTGCATATTTTGTGAAAGACCAGTTGGGTAAGCATAGACTCCTGGGATACTGAGATGCCAGGAGGCTCTAGAATGTTATACCCTCCCACTGCCCAACACATGGCCATTGTTCCCCAATCTCCATATGAGTCTCCAGGGTCCAAGGCAAGCTTTCTTGGAGACCACCAGCCCAGTCCTATTATTGCAGCTCAGAATACTGAAGCCCAGAGGAAACATAACTACTTCCCAAGACAGAACCAGCCTGGGCCGGCTTTCTCCACCCCAGGCTGCATAGCAGCATCCATTCACCATGGAAACCATGATTGCAAGAGGATGACAGCAGCTTCTGCCATCACCAGCCCACCTAGTGGCCATAAATTCTGAACCTCAGGCCAGAAAATGGGCATGTTTGCTTTTCATGTCATGGAAGGGAAAGTGTAAGCCAAAGAGTATGTCAGCTCTCCCTGCACAGCTGGCACGCGCTTCTGGATTAGGCAGACTGGAATTGAATCCTGCCATTTGCAAGTGAGGCTTCAGTTTCTATGTCTATAAAATGGAAATGATAATAGCATGTTTGACATAAGGATTATGTAAATTAATGTGTGTAGAAAAACCTTAAAATGACATATGCCATTGAGTGAGCATTCAATCAAAGTTCATTTTAGGACTGGGAAGATGATTCAGTTGATAAAATGCCTACTGTGGTCCTGTGTGGGTCCCCAGCACCCACATAAAAAGCCAGGTACGGCAGAACGTCCTTATAATCCCAATTCGAGGTGAGCAAGGACAGGTGGATCCCTGGGGCTTACTGAGCAGCCAATCTAGTCAAATCGGTGAGCTCCAAGTTCAGTTAGAAAATCTGTCTCAAAACATAAGGTGAAGCATGATTGAGGAAGACACCTGATGCTAACCTCTGACCTCTGATGCTAACCTCTGACCTCTGATGCTAACCTCTGACCTCTGTATGTGTCTGTACTCACATGCTTGTATACTCACACACTTAGATACACACACACACACACACACACGCACACACACACACACACACACACACACACACACACACCTAGCAACTGGGTCTATCTGCAAAGCTCTTTCTCTGAGGGAAATCAGACTAGTGATTGCTGCTTGGGTTTTCAAGGAACTGCCCTTGAGGTGAAACTGGGCCGGCACCACATTCCCACTCCCACTGACTGTCTGGGCACTGGGGGAGGGCACCGCCGAGGAGACAGCATGGCCCCACGCCAGGCCTGTTTGTGAGAATGGAAGGGAGTCACCAATGCCCTGCAGTTGCTGCTGCATGAAATTTAAATTATCCTCAGCAAACCTGCTTGACAGAGGAAACAGAAAAGGGACAGCTTCATAAAATGCAATTCTGTTACTGAAAGAATGGGCTGGAGAACCCTCACAGAGCCCTGCAAAATGAATGTGTGAGGCCTCTCTTTCCTTGTGATCAGGGGTGTTCAGGCTGAGACATTCCCATCACCCCTTGGAGCTCAGCCTTTGAACATAAATCTTA